TAAAATAAATAGTTATAAACGTTTTTGTATGAATGAATTTTTAGTTAAGATTTGTGTAAAGGATTTACAGAAAGAGTCCTTCAGAATACAATTATTTAATTTAATGTTTTTAAAAATATTTTTATGTTCTTAATAACAAAAATCACTGTTATCATTTTTTGGAAATTTTTAGATAATATTAATAATTTATTTAAATTTTTATCTCAAACTTGCTTGTTTTTTCTATTTGTTCATTCTCTTTTCAGAATTTTTAAAAATTTATTTATTTTCTAATTATTAACTTAATTTGTACTATAATATATAGAAAACATATTTATTAAGTAATATGTTTTCAAAAATTTTTTTATAGAGAATATGTTCAAAATAATAAATATTCTCAAATTCAAAAGTATATTCTCTTGAGAACATGAGAACATTAGATTTCCTATACTATTATCTCTATATCTTTGTGTTTTTTTTTTTATATAAGTTTTTTTTTATTTTTGTTTATTTTTCTATGAGAAGATGTTATCAGATTGATAATATTCTATTGTAAAATGATAATTAGATGTGACTCTTAATATACTTTAATTTCTTTTGAAATTAGACAGTTAGTGTAAACAGATCATTCATAGGGACTCATAGAAGCATCTGAATAATGTTAGACCAGAATTTATGTAATAATTTGTATATATATAATGCAAAATATATAATAAAGATGATTAGCAAGACTGCTCAAGTGAAGAAAAAAAATATATATACAGATTATGATTATAACTAGTATTTCAAATATATCAAATTAGATTATAAGCCAATTTGAACCTAATCTGAAATTTCAAATCAGATTAGATTAAAAACTTTTAGATTAAAGCTTCAATCTGATTTAAACTTGATCAAAACTGAACCTGATCTGATTTAATCTGAAATTTTAAAACTAATATATTAAAATTTTTTAAAAAATGAATTTAGTTTTATCTATTTTGTTTTTAAAATTCATATAATAATAATTATCAAAATTGATTAATCAAATTCAAATTTAATATGCATTATAACTACTATAGTAAAAATTATGCATTGTATACTAAAATTAACAAAAGTTTTTTATTTATATTCTATAATTCATAGAATTAAAAAAAAATTATTAAAAGGATGTAGCAACCTAGTAAAATGATCAAGTTGTCAACCTCCCAAATGATAGGTTGGGTGTTCAAATCCTATTGATAGTAAAAATTTGGATAATCACCTATGTAATATTTGTATTACAGCAACTGTTACTAATAATTGAGTTAGGATATCTGTAATAGTAGTCACACCAGCATAACTGGCAGGTTATGGGACATCTGTATAAGTATGCCATTACACAGAGGAATGCAAACTGACAAATCAGGTAGTGCAAATACTAGATAAGTCCTTGTGACTATGTAAATCCATTAAAATTAGCTAACAAAAAGTCCATTTGGAAAGACTTGAGTAGAGAGATAGTTGGATCTTTGACAGTTCTACTATAAAGGCTAGCTTAGAGAAACAAATACCAAGATTATAGTATCTAGTCATAGTAACCAGATAGGCAAGAATCTTCAGGTTGAGAATTATAAGGGTACTATCAATTAGGCTGCTGAAATAAATCAGAAAAAAAGAATATTAGGTTGACCTGATATACTGATGGACTGGTTGTAGTCCTATGTAAGCTATCTGAATTGGGAGTTTGGTAAAAAGGCAGGTAAAAAAGCAGAAATATACTAAAGTACTGAGATTATGTTATGAAGTAGATGCTGGAGTCTAAGTAAACTTTACAAGAACATAACAGTTTAATGGTTAGCCCTGACTGCAAGTGTTGATTCTGCTATAGTGATACTTAGGTCAACTATAAAAATGGGTACAGAAGACTCTGAAAGGTTTACCTCAAAGATAAATTAGTTTTAAGATTGAGACAATGATCTGAGCATCTGAGTATAACCCAGTGAGTTAATACAGGTTACAGATTCAGAGACTTTAAAGTAGAACATCCAAGCAGGGGTGTTAGGTATAGCAATTGGTAAAGAACCTTCTTCAGGCAGACTCCTTAAATAGGTAATATAGAAAAGTTACATGTATAGCCAATTGTACTCTTTTTTGTAGTGGTTCATTGAACCACAATATTGATAAGTGATTAATAAAAGTCAAAAGACCAAAGAGGTCACCTTAATACCAAAAAAAAAAAAAAAAAAAAATTATTGATTTTGCTCTACAAAATTTCATAGCAAATTCTTGATTTTGATTAGCTAAGATTGATAAACAAAATATTTACTCAGAATTACTCAAAATTTTATTATTACTTCTAAACAAATTTTACCATAATACAAGATTATATTCCAAAATTTTTATTTTTGTAATGAAAAAAATCAATATTACAACTGGAAATTAGTAAATTATGTAATGCAAGCCAAAAATTTTCGATCTGCAACTGTTAACCAATCAAAATTGAGGATCTGCCATGATAATATTTTTGAAGAAATTTGATTGATGGTTTTATTTAAACTATTATTTAAAAATACTTATGTACTTGCTAATAAACATATGTACTTGCTATTATAACCAAAAAAACTATATAAAATGCTTATTTCGATCATCTCTAATTTGGATAATTTCGGGTCGGGTTCGGTTCGGGTTAATGTTTAACCCGAACCCGACCTGAAATTTTCGGATCAGTTTTTCTAACCCGAAGCCGACCCGACCCGAAATTTCGGGTCAGGTTTCGGGTTGACCCGACCCGATTCGAAGCACTAGTTACAACTTATGTTAAACTTTACAACCAGATTTTATAGTAATTGTTAACTATATATTATAATAATAAATTTAATTCAATAACCTATTGGCATGCCCTGGCTTGACCAAATTAAAAAAAAAAAACTATTTTTAAACCTTTGAATATAGCCATTTCGACTTGTCTAATAATTTGTGTGTGCAATTAATCTTCTTGATATAATGTATTTTCAATATTACTTTTAAAACTTTCTTCTGCTATTAACTCTTTACTTAGTGTTTCAAGTATTTTTTTTAGAGAATCGATTTTGATTTTCATCTCATTTGGTTCAAAATACCTTTGTTCCCAATCATTATTAATATTAAAAATCGTATCGTTATATCTAAGTTTGAATGATTTAAGATTTGTTATCTCACTTCCCACTGATAAATTTTCGATAATTTGTGGAATAATTGATAAACTTTTATGTTTCTTAATAGTTTTAATTAGACTATTATAAACTTCTTCAAATGAAGAATAAATGCTGTTTCCATCGTCTTCTAAATAACTTTGGAATTCCGTACCACGTTCATTCTGATAGGTTATTTCGAAATAGTCAATAATAGCATTAGCACTTTCTTTTATTGCTTGGGAAGAGTTGATATTAGGACCGGGTGTTTTAATAGAAAATGTTCCCAGAATATTACTTATTCCACCGATTGCAATTTTTCTTTGTTTATTCTTTATTTCCTTATGTTTAATTGAGTCATAACATTCTTGTAATTTTTTGGCAATTTCTAGACGAATGTGTAAGTAAATCTTTTTTGCTTTCAAATATGTATTCATTTTTTTAATTAATTCTAATTTATTTTCGTTTTCTTTTTCTTCTTTTGCCATTTTATTTATATTTTCTTTTAGCTTTCTTAATTCTTCTTCCAAGCTTTCTAATTCTTCTTCCAACTTAGTAACCTTTTCTTGTTCTCGACAAATTGCTTTTATTTCATCATTAGTAAGATATTCAGAAAATATCTTATTCATGATATTATAACAATTTTTTTGATTTTTTAAAAAGTCCTCATCTAGCATATGACGAAGGTCTTTGCTCTTAAGCTTCATTTTGGCTTTATCAATTAATTTCTTTAATGATTTTTTTCTTTCCTTTTTTTCGATTTCTACTTTTTCAATATTTAATCTAAGTTCTTTAATTCGTACATCAATTTCTTGTTTTTTCTTTTCAGCCAATTGATGCTTTATATTAGATATTTTGTCTTCATATTGACTAATTGCTTCCTTTCTTAATTTAATAAGTGAACAAAATTTACCTAACTTATCATTAATCTTGTTCTTATCTGATTTAGGTATTTTGGAACTTCCAGATAAATTTCCCCATATTTTAGCAATTTTATTATGTTCTTGTTTTGACTGATTATCTGCTTTGTAACCATGAAATTTCAGAATTTCATTTAATAAATTCCGCTCTGTGCCAAGTTTACTATTTGTCATAGTTTCAATATTATTAAGTATTTCATGCAACTCATTTGATATTTCATCTGGATCTGTTTGTAATAAATCTATTCGACCTCTTAACAATTCCTCTTTTGATTGTTCACCCTTTAGAAGTTTTTCAAGTTCCTCAATATTACATAAAATTTTAATTCTGGCATCACTCTTATCCTGCTTGTGTTCAAGTTCTTTTAATTTTTCTTCTAATATTTCTATTTCTTTTTTCAGCAGTGCTCTTTTAACACAAGTTTGAATTAATTCGTCATGCAACCTATTTAGCGTTTTTCTAATCGTTTTTTCTTCTTCTAATTGCTTTTTATTTTCACTTAACTCAACTTGCATATTGGAAATAGTTTTTTTCAAATCATTGATTTTTTCTTGCATATTTTCTTTCTCTGAGTAATTAACAAGTTTTTTCTCCTTTTTTTCTAGCTCCGCTTGCATATTCGAAATAGATTTTTCTAAATTATTGATTTTTTTTTCTTGTTGGTCTACTATTTCTGAATAATTAAAAAGTTTTTTCTCCTTTTTTTCTAGCTCCTCTTGCATATTCGAAATAGTTTTTTCTAGGTTATTAATTCTTTCTTGTTGGTTTTCTTTCTCTAAATAATTAACAAACTCTTTCTCTTTTTTTTCTAGTTCTTCTTGCATAATCGAAACAGTTTTTTCTAAGCTATCACTTTTTTCTTCTAGTTGACCTACACTTTCAGAATTATGAACAAATTCTCTATCTCTTTTTTCTAGCTCTTCTTGCATAATGCAAATAGGTTTACTTATTCCTAGAAATGAATTTAGAAATTATAGTAAATACACTGTGACTTATCGAAAATGTATATTAAATGTAATGTTTTGAGAGAATAATATATTTACCTGCATCTTCTTGTATCTGATAGTCAAGTTGTGCCAATTTAAATTTAGCTTCAACATTAATATAATTAACTTGTTTATGCAGTTCTGTGTTTTCATCATTCACATTGTTTCTATGTTGTTCAAGTATATCTACTAATTCTTTAGCAGTTGGCCGGTATTGAGGTTCATCATCTAAACACCTGTTCATTAAATCTAAAAGCAACTGAGGAACTTTACACTTGATTTCAGGTCTATAACCTTCAATTATCCTTATTTTTAGATCGGATTCATATGGAATATTATAATATGGTGGGTACCCATTAAATATTTCAGACATAATAATTCCAAAAGAATAAATGTCTGATGATTGAGTATATACTATTTGAACATTTCTATCCGACGCTCTTAACAATTCCGGAGAAATATAAGGAAGTACACCATAAATCTTTTCAGAACTTGAATATTGAGACACTGGTTTACACAAGCAAAAATCAGCAATGTAAAAATCAAATAAATTTTCACAAAGTATATTTCCGGAATGAAGATTTGTATGCACTAATTCGGCTTCGTGAATTTCACGAAGACCATAAGCTATGGAACGTATGATAACTATTTTATTCTGCCAATTTAAGTCGTAATATTTACGATCCAATAAATTTCGGAGACTTCCTTGTTTTGCATACTGCATAACTATCATGTAATTATCATCTTTTGGGCCCTTAGTTATTCCGTAAATTTTTAATATTATGTTGCCCCCGTGTTTATGTTGATTTTCAACCTAAAATATTAATTAAATATAAATGACTATACTTTAATCATAATAAATATATAATGCTTACTTCTTCTAAAAGTTCCCGGTTTATATTTTTAGAATTATCAAGACCTTTTAGACAAACGTTCATTTGTGGCTTTCTCTTCCACGCACTTTTATCATGTTCAAGTCCCGTAATGTATCCATCAGTCCATACTGCCTTAAAAACAGTGCCAAAACCTCCTTTAGCAATATACTTTATATTAGTAAATTTGTCGAAAGGTATCCATTCAATGATGTCTTCATACGAATTTATATAGAGTTGAGTTTTCTGAATATATTTATCAATGTCATCATTGCCACTTGTCCAATTATTAAATTCTTTTTTAAATCTTAAATATTGATAAATAATAAATAAATATAATAAATAAAATAATATATTAAGAGTTACGATTTAAAATAACTGATATATACCGCCTATCGTGTGTTAGCATATAATTAATTAGAAGCAAATTATTTTATTGTTATAATAAATTCTTATACAAACTTACTCGCTATAAAGATAATTCGTAGTTAGTTTGTATTGAATTCTCGTGATTTCTACTGTGATTTATTGTATGTAAAAAAATCTCTGTTACAAAACTTACAAGCTATAGGAACACACGGTATTTAGTTTAGATAATTTGTAGGTTTAGTTTGTATTCGAATTCTCGTAATTTCTACTGTGATTAACTGTATGTAAAAAAACAAATTCTGTTATAAAACTTACTCGCTATAGGAACACACAGTATTCGGTTTAGATAATTTATAGGGTTAGTTTGTATTCGATTTCTACCGTGATTTACTGTATGTAAAAAAAATTCTGTTACAAAACTTACCGACTATTGTGGTGACAATATTTGATTTGGTTTTAAATAATTTGTAGGGTTAGTTTGTATTCGAATTCTCGTGATTTCTACTTTGATTTACTGTATGTAAAAAAAATTCTGTTACAAAACTTACATTCTATTGTGGTGACACACAGTATGTAGTTTAGATAATTTGTAGGGTTAG